GGGGAGGTAAGGGGCATCAAAAGGGAAGTCAAGGGGCATCGAAAGGGGAGGTAAGGGGCATCAAAAGGGGAGGTTAGGGGCATCGAAAGGGGAGGTAATTGGCATCGAAAGGGGAGGTAAGGGGCATCGAAAGAGGAGTCAAGGGGCATCGAAAGGGGAGGTAAGGGGCATCAAAAGGGGAGGTAAGGGGCATCAAAAGAGGAGGCAAGGTGCATCAAAAGAGGAGTCAAGGGGCATTGAAAGGGGGAGGTGAGGGTCATCAAAAGGGGAGGTAAGGGGCATCAAAAGGGGGAGGTAAGGGGCATCGAAAGGGGAGTCAAGGGGCATCGAAAGGGGGAGGTGAGGGGCATCAAAATGGGAGGTAAGGGGCATCGAAAGGGGAGTCAAGGGGCATCGAAAGGGGAGGTAAGGGGCATCGAAAGGGGAGTCAAGGGGCATCGAAAGGGGAGGTAAGGGGCATCAAAAGGGGAGGTAAAGGGCATCAAAAGTGGAGGTAAGGGGCATCAAAAGTGGAGTCGAGGGGCATCAAAAGGGGTGGTAAGGGGCATCAAAAGGGGAGTCAAGGGGCATTGAAAGGGGGAGTCAAGGGGCTTCGAAAGGGGAGGCAAGGGGCATCGAAAGGGGAGTCAAGGGGCATCGAAAGGGGAGGCAAGGGGCATCGAAAGGGGGAGGTAAGGGGCATCGAAAGGGGAGTCAAGGGGCATCGAAAGGGGGAGGTAAGGGGCATCAAAATGGGAGGTAAGGGGCATCGAAAGGGGAGTCAAGGGGCATCGAAAGGGAGGTAAGGGGCATCGAAAGGGGAGTCAAGGGGCATCGAAAGGGGGAGGTAAGGGGCATCAAATGAGGAGTCAAGGGCATCGAAAGAGGAGTCAAGGGGCATCGAAAGGGGAGGTAAGGGGCATCGAAAGGGCAGCAAAAGGGGCATCGAAAGGGGCATCAAAAGGGGAGGTAAGGGGCATCAAAAGTGGAGTCGAGGGGCATCAAAAGGGGTGGTAAGGGGCATCAAAAGGGGTGGTAAGGGGCATCAAAAGGGGAGGTAAGGGGCATCAAAAGGGGAGATAAGGGGCATCAAAAGGGGAGGTAAGGGGC